CTGAACAAGATAAACCCTATTTCAAATATTCCCCTTGAACTTACATACAAAAGGAATCAACCAAATATTAGCCAACTGAATCAACCAATATATAAAAAGAATTATACACTCTGATTAAGTGGGATTTATTCCAGGTGTGAAAAGCTAATTCAACATGAAAAATTCAATCATTGCCATCCACCATATCAAATGATAAAAAAGAAAAATCGTATGACCATATTAATTGATATAAAAAACATTTGACATTCTCAAGACACATCCATGGAGGGAGAGGGAAAAACTCCAAGCAATCTAGACACAGAAGAAATATTTCAAGTAGAGAAAGAGCATTTACAAAATTTACAGCTAACAATACACATAATGTTTAGAGACCAAATGCCTTTCCCCTAAGATGAACAAGCAAGAATGGCTCTTCTCACCACTTTTATCAACACAGTGCTGAAAGTTCTAAGTTCAAGCATCTGCAATAAGGGGGCAAAGGGCGAATGGACAAAAGAAAGACCCCTACTTCACACCATCTAAAAACTTTAACTTAGGGGAGCCTGGGTGGCTCTGATGGTGAAGCATCTGTCTTCAGCTCAGGTCATGATCTCCAGGTCCTGGGATCGAGCCCCATGTTGGGCTCCCTGCTCTGTGGGGAGTCTGCTTCTCCTCCCTCTGCCTCTCCTCCTGCTTATGTTCTCTCTCTCTCTCTCTCTCTCTCTCTGTATCTCTCTGTTTCAAGTGAATAAAAATCTTTAAAAAAATAAAAACTTTAACTTAAAATGGATCAAAAACTTAAATGTGAGAGCTAAGGTGATGGAGGAAAACATAGGTGTAAACCCTGTGAGTTTGGCTAATAAGACAATGATTTCTTAGATAGAACACAAAAAAGTACAAGCCACAAAAGATAAAATAAACTGGTTATCATCAAAATTAAAAATGTTTTACTTCAAAGGACACCATTAAGAAATTAAAAATATAGCCCACAGAATGAGAAAAAAAATTTTTTTTACAAATCATGTATCTGATAAGGCACTTGTATCTAGAATATAGAAGGAATAATTAGTACTCAATAATAAACAAATGACCCAATTTTCTTTAAATGGGCAAATGATCTCAATAGATATTTCTCCAAAGAATATACACAAAGGACAATAAGTACATGAAAATATGCTCAGCATCATTAACCATCAGGAACATGCAAATCAAAACCATGAGTTACCACTTCATACTCACTAGGATGACTACAATCAACAACACAGAAAATAACATGCATTGACGAGGACACACAGACATTGGAATACTCACACAATTCTGGTGAGAATGAAGATGTTACTATGGCTTTGGGAAATCCAGTTCTTCAAATGGTTAAATATTAGAGTTACAATATGATCCAAAAATTCCCACTCCAAGACATAGCCAAGATAAATGAAAACATATTCACACAAAAATTGTACACAAATATTCATAGCAAGATTATTCATAATAACCAAAAATGCAGACAACCCCAATGTCCACCAAATGATGAACAATGGAATGTTAATTCAATCACTTTAAAAACCTGATACTCTAGGGCGCCAGGGTGGCTCAGTTGGTTAAGCGACTGCCTTCGGCTCAGGTCATGATCCTGGAGTCCCGGGATCGAGTCCCACATCAGGCTCCCTGCTCGGCAGGGAGTCTGCTTCTCCCTCTGACCCTCTTCCCTCTTGTGCTCTCTATCTCTCTCATTCTCTCTCTCTCAAATAAGTAAATAAATCTTTAAAAAAATAAAATAAAATAAAAATAAAAACCTGATACTCTCTCCAACATGGATGAACCTGGAAAATATTACACTAAGTGAAATAAGCAAATCACAAGGGACCACATAATTCATGATTCATTTGTAAGGAAGTCCCAGAATAGGTAGAACTATAGAAAGAAGAAAGTATAGTGGCTGCCTGATGCTTAGGGAATTGGAAGGACTGGGGGAGGGAGGGGTGATGGCTGGGAGTGCAGTTTCTTTTTTGGGTAATGAAAATGTCCTAAATTTGAATGTGTTGATGAATGCATAACTCCATGAATATACTAAAAGCCATGAATTGTATGTTTCAATGGGAGAGTTGTGTTTTTTTAATTTTTTACTTTAATTTCAGACAAATGGGTGAATTGTATGGAATATGAACTATATCTCAATAAAGCTATTAAAATAAAAACTAAAGCTAAGCTTATTTAACAGGCAACTTCCATACAATCCTGCAACTGTAATCTTGAAATTTATCCTAGCAAAATAAAAACTTCTGTTCATACAAAAAAATTAAATGCATGTTTATAGCAGCTTTATTTGTAAAAGCCAAAAGCTAGAAACAATCCAGATGTCCTTCAATGGATGAATGGTTAAACAAGCTATGGTAACTCCTTACCAGGGAATACTATTCAGAAATAAAAAGGAAGAAATTACTGACACACATAACAGCTTATATGAACGTCAAGGGAATGATACTGAAAGAAAATCCTAAAAAGTTGCACACCATATGATTCCATTTATATAACATTCTTGAAATGACAAAGTTATAAAAATGGAGAACAATTTATTGCCTGCCAGAGTTAGGGGGGCCTGTGGAAAGGGGTAAGAGAGAGGTTGGGATGGTTATCAAAGCACAAAAGCAAGGATCCCTCTAGTGATGAAACTTTGTATATTGACTCAGATGATATACTCAAGAATCTGTACTCAAGATAAAATTGTGTAGCACCAAAGATGCACACACACATACATATAGTAAAACTGCAATTATCTGTGAAAGATCAGTTGACCGTATCAATGTTAGTATCCTGGTTATTTGACTATACTGTCATTTGTCATTGTCATTGTTACCAGTGGGGGAAACTGGGTAAAGGATACACAAGATCATCTACATCAATTATTTCAACTGCGTGTCAGTCTATAATTATCTCAAAATTAAAAGTTTACTTAAGAAATCAGAGGTAGCTGTAGAAAGAAGAGAGGACTGTGTGTAAAGTCATATGTTTTCTAGACTCTGACCTATCCCTTACTTAGCTGTGCCACCTCAAACAATTCACTTTATCATTTTAGGCTTCAGTTTTCTTGTAAGAAAAGGAAGGATTTAGATAAGATACATGGTTTCCAGGCCATATGATAATTATAATTATTTTACACCGCAAAACATTTCATAGACCCTTCCCCACTCTCCCCCACTGCTATGATCATCACTCTATTTAGGAACCACTGATGGAGATTTTCACATTAAAAAAAAATTCTATTCTGTGTGTCTCTGCTTTTATTAATTGCATAAACATCTACATACACTAGAAAAAGTATAGTGTGTCATGAAAATGTCATTCATCTATTCTACAGAACATGTGTACAGCCTTTGTGGGTCCTAGGGCCCCTTGCTATAGCTCCTCAGCCCTATGGGGTCCGCAGTTTATGGTGCACAAATTTTAAAAGTTAGAATACAAAATCTCAAATGTCTCTTCCAGACCTAGAATTCCAAGGTACCGATTTAGATTTTTCAACCGTACACATTTACACCACCAGCCACAAAGAGTTTGCATATGAATCATTTTTCCAATATGTGTAAGTACCTTATCATTATCCAAAAGACAAGTCATGAGTCAGAACTTTTTTGTGCATATCATTCCCTAAGTTGATCATGAATCCTGGAATCCTGAAATAGGAACCATGGCCCTGAGATGTGACATTCCTATAACATCCAGGCCATAGAAGGGACACAGCCAAATGCTGCTGAGCAACAAACACAGGGAGGGCACAGCCTCAGTTCACAGGTCACTCACAGTTTAAAACAACAGGAGAAAGCTCGTGTTTACACCTTATCCTATGGATATAGTGCTGTAGACACCAGCAACTGCCTTATGTGTTTAATCCTTAAAGAAATCCTGCTAAGTACACATTATCTCCATTTTACTGACACTGACGCTTGAGGAGTTCATATAATTCGCCCAGATAAGTACCAGACCTTACATTTGACCTTAGTTCTCTCTAATTTTAGAGCCCACAGACCTTCTGCTGCACTGTGGCAGCTCATATGAAATTAAAAAGACTTAAAAAAAAATAAAAAAAGAACCAAGGCTTCAAAAGGAGAAAAAAGCAAAAATGTACAGGCTCAGCCAAGGCACATGTCCCAGCAAGATATCATCAGTTTAGCACATTTTACTGTCAGGCATCCTGACTTCCATCTATGGGCTGAACTTATTTTTGACAGCTACATTTTGGTTGACTAATGCAACAAAAGATGAAAGAACGCCTATGACAAAATAACCTATCTTTGGCAAGGATAACACCACATTATGAGTATACAATTCCTTCCTCCCCCCCCAAAAAAAAGAGAAGGGAAGGAAAAAAGAGAGAGAGAGACAGACGGACAGAGAGACAAAAAGAAAGAGGGAGGGAGGGAAGAAGAAAGGGAAAGCCACCCACGTAATCAATCCCTTAGTAACAATCACAGTTCTAAATATTTCCTCTAAATTATGTCTTGCTGAATCACCACAGAAATGCACAATGAAATAGAGCTGTCTATATCACCTGCTGTGACAATATATTGCTAGACATAACAAATTTATTAGGTTAAACCTCAAAATGCAATGCGACTGACATGGTCAGCCTCTTGAACTGAGACTGGAGGCTCAGTGAGAATCTGTAAGCTTGCTTGTTTATTTCACAGTGAAGCCTGTCCACCCTTGATCCGAATACATATAGTCCAATGCACTACCGTTTGGGTAATCCCCTATTGCTCCGTGGAGCCCACTCACTCATTTGTCTTACTTGACACTGTTGGAAGGAGATGCTTGCTAATGATAGCTAACATCGACTGTGATCTTGTGCCACACAATGTCCCACACATCTTACCTACAGTAAAACATACAACAACCTAGGAAGAAAGCACTATTATTATTATCCCTATCTGACTAAGAATGTGATGGCTTGCACAGAGAGGTAAGAAACCTGCCTCATATAATTCGCAAACAGATTCGAACCCAAGCAATTAGCTCTGGTGCCTGCAAATTTAACCATTTGGCTGTATATTTTGCATGTCATCCTTGCGCAGGGGCCATGCTAATCTTCTCTGTATCGTTCCAATTTTAGTATATGTGCTGCCGAAGCGAGCACTTGGCTGTATATTTTGAAAGCTCTTTCCCAACTTCTGACTTCACTATTTGCCATAGCTTTTCTGCTGTGTCATATGGCTGGCAATCATGAAAAAAATGAGAGATGAGTTTCCATAGTGATAGGAGGATGTAGCCCCAAGTAAGGGGCTGGTTCTTCTCCTTCAGAGAAAAGCACCTAAGGTTAGTGCTAAGTCCAAAATTTCTACACCCATTCAGCTTTGTCCTTCATGATTGAGCTCAATGTCTTATATGTAGAATACATGGTCTTCCACTAACTTGCTCTCACCAGGTCCTTATTCAAACCTAAGAACAGAGAATCCTTAGATTAAGCTGGAGGACCCAGAGAACAAAGAAGATCATGAGGTTGATGGAAATCCATGGTTTCTCTATTGTGAAGTGAAACAATAAAAGGCTATTTTCAAATTCAATCTGACAATTCAAAATGCATGTACAGGAAGGCAATGATTCATTTTTTCCCTCCCTTGGAGCTGCTTCCAAGCCCTTAAAAAGAGAAAGGACAGAAAAATGGGGTCAAAGAGATTGTCTGGCATGGTATACCATCCATTGTTTTCAGTAAGTAGACAGTAAAATTTATTTTCTAAAAGAAAGGGGGACTATCAAATCTATACAAAAAGAAATTTTTAAAAAGTTACAAAATATATTGATGGGCGTATCTCTCTAAGTTTAGCTTAGAAATGGTGCAAATAACTTCTTACATGAGAGAAAAAGGATGAATTGTAAGTTATGTCAAACCTCAGAGATATCCTTTCTCAAGGGTGAGTGAGGATGAGAGAGGTTCTTTGAGCAAAGGTGGGAAAGAGAAGAACCACCTACTACATTGGCATGCTTTACATACATTTCTTTTTATCCTCAGTCAATATTCTGAAATGTTATCATGCCTGTTACAGATGAGAAAAATGAGAGTCAGAGATGTTAATAAGCTTCCCACACAGGAAAAAACATCTGTTTTCCTCCCTACCCCACACTTTCCAGCACTATGGAGGCCCCTGACATGGACTTCTTCACTATAAAACCAAGGAGCAGAGAAACGAGAGCATTAATGTGTTTTTCAAAGTTTATTGAAAACCTGGAAGGTATCTTTCAGAGAGTATTGCATTCATTCATTCAAAAAATATCTACTGGACATGAGATTTTTTTCAAAGGAAGCTCTAATGAAATAGGAGTGACCCCTATTCTCCCAGATATAACATGGTATACAGAATAGAGAAAACTAAACACATAATTACAATAAAGTATTAAGGAGGTTTATAGCAAGAACACCACACCAGGATGGGGGAGGTCAGAGAAAGATTCCTAGAAGCAGTAGCAGCTCACTCAACTCCTGAGTACTCAGTACATATTAGCTAGTTGGGACCATGGAAGCAGTTGACATCAATACAGGAAAGAGAGTGAGTCACAGTGGCAAGTTTGAAATGACAAGGTCTGCATCCATTTGAAGAATGTAAGAGGTCATTGTACATCCACCATAGGGGTGAAAGAAGTTAAAAGAACTGATGGCTGGGAAGGTGGGCAGGGAGCAGGTTATTCAAGAACCACATCAAGAAACTTGGACATTAATCTGAAAAATGGAAGACACTGAATAATGCTCAGATGAGAATAAGCATTCTGGCAACAGCATAACAAATGATTTTATGGAAACAAAGTTGGAAACAGCTTAAGAGTTTGCTGAGTACTCTAGGTATGAGAAGATGGTGGATTGGGCAAGGATGGTTGGGAGAAAACTGGAGAGATTCACAATTTCTTTAAAAGAAAAAACACAGAACCTGGTGATGGACAGGATGTAGAATATAAGGAGGTGAAGAGTGTTCAAAAATAATGTCTAGGTGTCTGGCTTGGGCAACTGGATAAATCTGCCTATCCTAAACATTTTATATAAATGCAATTATACAATACCTGGCCTTTTGTGAATATCTTCTTTCATTTAGCTTTATGTTTTCAAGGTTCATCCATGTTCTAACATGTATCAATGATTCATCCTTTTGTATTGACAAATAATATTACACTATGGACAACCACATTTTGTTTATATTTTCATCAGTAAATGGGTATTTGGATTGTTTCCACTTTGTGACTCTTATGTATAATGCTCCTATAAATCTTTTTGTGAAAGTAGTGTGTGGAAATGTTTTCATTTATCTTGCCATATACATAGAAGTCAAATCACTGGGTCATTTGGAACTCTAGGTTAACCATGTAGAGGCCAAAAGGTTGTCCAAAGTGGCTGCACCATTTGACATGCCCATCAGCAATGCAGGATTATTCAAATTTCTCCACATATAGACCAACATTTGTTGTTGTTGGGTTTTGACTGTAGCTATCCTAGTGGGTATTAAATGGTATTTTAATGTAGTTTTGATTTGCATTTCAAAGGCAATTAATGATGTTAACTATACTTCCATGTGCTTATTGGCCATGTGTATATATTCTTTTGGAGAAATGTACATTCAACTTTTTCCCTTTTAAAATCTGAGTTATCTTTTTATTGTGGAGTTAAAAGTTTATTTATATATTCTGTATCATAGATCCATCAAAAAATAATTGGCAAATATTTTCTTTAATTTGTAGAGTTTGGTATTTTTTTATATTCTTCATAGTGTTCACTGAAGGAAAAAGTGTTTTTGTAATTTTAATAGAACACAGCTTATATATTTTTTAACATTTTGCTTATGATTTTGGTTAAGAAAATATTGCCTAACATAGGGCATGAATATTCTCAAGTTTTCCTTCAAGTTTTATAAGTTTAGCTCTTACATTTAGGTCTATAATCCATTTTGAGTTATATTATAGATAGAGGATAGATAGATGGTAGATAGATACAGAAATCACATATATATCAGATCTTCCTTATCCATTTGTTATCAGTGGATGCTTAGGTTGCTTCTGTATCTCGGCTATTGTCAAAAATGCTGCAGTAAACATAAGGGTGCATATATCTTTTCAAATTAGTGTTTTCATTTTCTTTGGGTAAATACTCAGTAGTGGAATTACTGGATCATATGGCATTTCCACCTTTAGTTTCTAGAGAAACCTCCATACTGCTTTCCACAGTGGCTGTACCAATTTACATTCCCACCAATAATATATAAGAATTCCTGTTTCTCCACATCTTTGTCAACATGTGTTACTTTCATCTTTTTATTTTAGCCATTCTGACAGGTGTAAGGTGATATCTCATTGTATTTTAATTTGCATTTTCCTGATGATTAGTGATATTGAGAATCATATATTTGTAAAAATGTCTATTCAGGTCCTCTGCCCATTTCTTAATCAGACTGTTTGGTTTTTTTGTGTGTGTATGTTTGTGTGTGTTGAGTTGTATAAATTCCTAATACATTTTGGGTATTAACCTCTTATCAGATATGTCATTTGTAAATGTCTTCTCACATTCAGTAGGTTGTTTTTTTGCTTTATTGATAGTTTTCTTCACTGTAAAAATACAGAGAACAAACTGATGGTTGCCAGGAGGAAGTGGATGGGGAGATGGGTAAAATGGGTGAATGGGAGAGGGAGATGCAGGCTTCCAGTTATGGAATGAATAAATCTGGGGACAAAAATTGGGGAATGTAATTGATGATACTATAATAGCATTGTATAGTGACAGATGGTAGGTACACTTATGGTAAGCATAGCATAACATATAGAGATGTTGAATCACAGTGTTGCACACCTGAAACTAATGTAACATTGGGTGTCAACTATACTCAAATTAAAAAAAAAGATTAAATAAAATAAGTGGGCACCGGGTGGCTCAGTCTGTTGAGCCTCAGACTCTTGATTTTGGCTCAGTCATGATTATGGGGTCCTAGGATCAGGCCCCGCTTTGAGCTCCACACTCAGCTGGAGTCTGTTTCTCCCTCTGCCTCTCCCCCTTGTCATGCACTCTCTCTCTCACTCTTGTCAAATACACAAATAAAATCTTTTTTTAAATTAAAAATAATTAATTAAATAAAATTATAAAAATAAAGGGCCTGTAGCATCTGGGGATTAATAAAATCATACAGGTTTCCATGATAAACCCTTATCTGGAATCTTGATTTGTATCATGCAGAGATACAAATGTAAGAAATCAGCAGTAACAAAACAAATTTTATTTATTTATTTTTTATAATGTTTTTTTGTTTGTTTTTTTAGATTTTATTTATTTATTTGACAGAGAGAGAGAGAGACAGCAAGAGAGGGAACACAAGCCAAGGGAGAAGCAGGCTTCCTGCAGAGCAGGGAGCCCTATGTGGGACTCGATCCCAGGACTCCGGGATCATGACCTGAGCCGAAGGCAGTCGCTTAACCAACTGAGCCACCCAGGCGCCCAACAAAACAAATTTTAAAAAGTCCACAAGCAACAGGTATTACTTTATAAACATAAACAATGCTTAAAAAAAAGAAAGAAAGAAAAGAAAGCCAGGTTTAAAAGAACTGAGATAAATTGGCCTTTAATGTGAGATTTTATGTTCATCTGGCCAGTAGTTAAGCTGTTCTTCCTGTTAGAGCTGTTAGTGTCAGTGGCTTAAATTCCTGTGGTGTCCTTGTATTTCTCTCCCCTGTGGTATCTGGATTTCCCTAAAACTTAAAGAAAATCAGATATGCAGTTCTTTCGGTTGTATTCCTGTTATTATACAGGAGCCCTATTGGTGTGGTAGTAAGGTGTGGGGGTAGGAGAAGTGTTCTTTAGACTTATGATTTAATGTCAGTCTTTAGGTGAGCTTGTGGCCCTGTGCTGTGTGACCTGCACAAGAGTCTTTTTATATTTCCCCGCCCCTCAGGTAGAAACAAAGGCTGTAGTGGGCTGGAGTTGGGAATTTCCCTTCCCTCAAGTCAGTAAGTCTCTGGTAAAGCCCTAGTCTGTAGTAGAACTCTTTCCCTTGAAGGCAGGTCTTAAGAACATAATTTTCTGGGCATACTTCAAAATGGCTACTTTTCCCTTCCTTTGCGAGCAGCACGAGGACATTTTTTCTCATCTAATAGGGATCCTCAAGGTAAAAC